GGGGGGGACGGCTGGGAGGGACGGTTGCATGTCGACGACACATCCATCTTGCCTGTCCATCCTGTCTGCCTGTGGAGTGAAGGAGTGAATGAATGGCTGGCTCATGGCCCAGAGACGTGCCACTCCACTTTTCTGTCTCTCTGTCAGTCAGTCAGTCCCCTATCTGTCTAGATGTCTATATATTCCTCACACACTGCCGCCGCGACCGCCTGATCCACCCGGCATACCCGGGGCTCCACCATGTCCACCACCTGCTCCTCCATAACCACCTGGGGCTCCACCCACTCCGCCTGGCCCCTCGTCTAGCGATTCCGAGTCATCCGCTTCAGACACGCTAGATTCTCCCTCTGATTCATCAGGCTGCATTCCTCCCGCCCCCCTCTCGCCCTCCGTGTCTCCACTCACCTCACTCTCACTCTCACTATCACTCTCACCCTCAAGTGTCTCAGACTCGCTCTCTCCCTCGCTCTCACTCGGTGCCTCTTCCTCTTGCTGCTCGGACTCTTCTTCCTGCCTGATAGTTGTCGGTGGCCGATAGACGCGGATCTTCTGGGGTCGTGAGGCCTCCTTGGTGGGTGTGTCTTTCGCAGGGACGAGGCGGCACACCCCTCCCTCGCACACGACGCCTGAACACACACACGACACGACACGACACAGCATCTTTACCCAGAGCAGTGATGTCGTGCGGACCTGGTGGCATGCCCGAGTCAGTGTCTTGCTGCTGCTGTGCGGGCCGCGGAGGGGCCACAGCCGGATGGATAGCGCTGCTGACGCGCTTGGCGGCGATAAGCTTGGTGGGGGGGTTTAGGAGAGGAGGCGCCTCCTTTTGTTCTTCGTCCTCTTCCTCTTGTTCGTCCTCTTCCAGAAGGTGGGGTCCGGTTTCTTCCTCTGAGTCACCCTCAAAGGACTCGCTGTCGCTCGGCTCGCTGGCAGTCGTCTCAGCCTCGCTCTCAGCCTCGCTCTCGCTCTCACTCTCGATTTCGGATTCCTCTTCTGCACGGAGGGCCATTGCCGCCCCTGCCGACGTCGGCGGCCACTGGAATCGGTGGCGGAGGGCCCTCTTTGTGCTGCATGTGTGCGACCAGATGCCTTCCGTGCTGTGTCTTGTTTAGCTCGTGCAGGCGTCTTGTGGCCTCGTGCAGCATCCTCTCGCTGCGTTCGCGGATCTCTCGGCTCTTCCCTGAGCGAGCGACCGACGAACAAAGACCACAGGGAAGAAAGGATGGATGGATGGATGGATGGATGGCAGATAGACAGACAGACACACAGACAGACAGACAGAGAGACAGACAGGCATCTCTCTCTCTCTCTCTGTGTGTCTCTCTCTGTGTGTCTCTCTCTGCCCGCTTGCTTACTGTCTACTTCTTGCAGGTGTCTGAGGTTGCTCTGCGCGTGTTCGACCTGCCTGACGGCGTGCAGCCGCTGCAGCTGGGTCCTATTGAGGATATGCTTCAGCTCATCCGGGAGCGGGGGCAGCGTCTCGACAGAGGGACACTCGTGCGTCGTGGTCGCCGGCTCCAGCAGCCTTATCTTCACATGCCTGTGCCTGACAGGCGCCTGTGTGTGGGGGGGTAGCGGCATCGTGGTGGTCGTTGGTGGCTTTGGTCCGAGCCCGAAGTGGTGGCCGGAGGGGAAGGGGTCTGGCGGGACTGTGTGGTGTTCCGTGAAGGGGCACGGCTTCTTGCCCATGTTGGCCGGGAGGATAAACTGGTCGCACCTGAACCCCTGCCAGCCGGGGCGGCACCTACAGCCACCGGTGTCCTGCAGAGACAGAGGGAACGAACGGAACACTCATTTGTTGGCCGATGGGATCGTGGTGTGTGCCTGTCACTCACACACCGGGTCGCACCCGTAGTCCGTGCAGCCATCTGAGCACTCGACACAGACGCCGAGAGTCTCGCGGAGGTTGCCGTGGGTCCCCGGTGGGCAGCAGTAATGGCCGTAGAATGGGGGGTCAGTGCCGCCTGCATATTGATCATCAACACCACAGACGCACCACAACCATATGCACATCTCTCCCTCCCCCCAAGCCGACCGTCCAGGACTCACATTCATCGCAGTATCGCAGCTTCCCGCGGGTGTCCTTGAGATGCTCCAGCCCCGCCACGCCAGCAATATCGATGACCTCCATGGTCTCAACACACGTCTTGCACCGCGGCGCCTGACAAAACTCAGGCACCCCAACACCTCCACCCTCACCCTCCAGCAGTCGACGATGCTCGCCTCCACTGGCGAATCTCAGCAGAGCCTCGAGACTGCGCTCCCCCATCTCCCGCCCCACCACTGGCAGGCTGACAGCCAGTCGGTCTTCCCCCGAGACACCCTCAAAGCCGCCCGAAGAGTCATCCTCCTCGTACTTTGCCACCGGCTGCGCGATGACATACTCAGTGCCATTGCGCCGGTCATCAGAAGCAGCGATGAACGCTGCAGGGGGGAGGGGGCTGGGCAGCGAGGCTGACGGAGAGGGAGGGGGGACGGGCGCCTGGTGGATGCGCCTGCGCCGTTGATGAAGTTGATGGTGCTTGTGGGCTCGGCTGACATTGAAGCGCGCCCCATGGGCGCCGTCATGTAGTAGCGTCGATACAAGACACAGGGCGGCCACCAAGAGAAAGCCGGAAGGATGAATGGAAATCACCATGCTAGCTGAGGAATCGACGAACAGGAGACGGCGGTTGAGACAGGCCAGGAAGGAATGACCAATCGGCAATTGGGATGATCTCGGATCCGGAGCAGTCGCCCAGGCTACTGCGAAGAATCACCTTGGCTTTGCGGTGTCAGTCGCTGGCCGGATGGGCCGGGCCCGAATGGGATGTTGACATTGCAAACGTAATAATTGGCCGCTTCTTGACCCAGGGGCCCCTCACGCACCTCCACAGCCTCCGAGTCAGCCCAGGGTTAGCACTGGGTTGTTTGACTTCTTCCTTCAGGGTTTCAAACCCTGTTCTCGCGTGGGGTTTCAAACCCTGGAAGAGAAGTTCAGTTCCCACGCTCCCCTCTCTTCCGCATCATATCGCATTAGCCGTGCGGGTGTGAGCGTGGGACGTCTGCCACCTACCGCCTCAATAGCCCTTGATACAGGGGCCTCTCCCCGATACCAGCATCCATCGTTGTCGACTACTTCGGTCCAGTCAGGGGCGGGCCTCACGTCTATTTCCTCCCCCGCATCGCATCGCATCGCACATCGCAGGTACACAGAAGCGAGATGAGGCGAAAGACGAGAAGAAATCAGCTGGTGTGCATGGTGACATCGCTGCCTGTGTTGTGTGTGCAGCCAGATCTATCGCACTGCATCCCTTCCCAAAACCCCACACGATGTCCTTCTCCACGCACATCGCCATGATCGTGATCCTCGGCTGCATCGCTGCCGCCTCAGCCTACCCGAGGATGGCCGGCTCCTGCGTGGCGCCAAATAGCGGTCCCGTGCACCGCGCCGTGCCGACGGATCTCCCACAGGCGTTCACCATTGACATTACGCCAACCATCGGCCGTGATGGCTTCGAGATCAATGTCAGCGGAGAGCCGTACAAGGTGCGCGCAGCTGGGGGGAGGGAGGGAGGGAGGGGGGGAGCACTCATATGGTCCGTCTGATGCCTGCCTGCTTTGCTCTGCGTTGTTTGGCGACAGGGGGTGATGATGGTGAGCGAGGCTGGCGAGTTCTTCATCACAGAGGAGGCATATTCCCAGCTGCAGTATATCAGCTGCCCCGCCGGGGAGGACGACTCGGTCCCCGCGCCGTCCGGCGAGGCCACCTCCGCCGTGTCGCACAACAGCGCCGAGGAGAAGACCAGCACCTCTGTGTTGCTGGACACCACGGGGGTGGAGGCAGGGACGTCATTCAACGTGACCATCACACTGCTGACAGCGAAAGACGGAGAGTGGTACCAGGTCAAGGAGACCATCACGGCATGAGACGACTGCAGGCAGACAGGCAGCCAGCCTGCTTCAGGCAGTCCGCCACAGGCAGCACGGGCGGCTGCTCGGTGTACTTGGTCTACTTCATCTCATCTATCTGTGTGTCGCCCATCACGTGTGCATGATATATATGTGTGTGTGTGTGGTGTACAGTCAGCGAGTGGGTCGGTGTGCTTGGGTGGGGTGTGCACGTGGTGCGTGTTGGTGTGGATCGTTGAGGAATCGTTTATCAAAGCGTCAAAGCGTTCATTCATCTGTCGTCCAGCTTTCTGGACGCTGTTTTGAAATTTGGGCGTGGCGTGAGAGAGGCGAGTCGCGAGGCACATGCGATGCATCCGTGTCGGTGATCTACAGGGATACACATCACATGCACACACACGCATCTAAGAGACAGACGATGGGGACTTTTTCATTTGGGAGATGTGGGTGCCTGCCTTGTCGTGTCGTCTCTCTCTCTCTCTCTCTCTCTCTCCCGGACGGCACGGCACGCGGCGGCACCTCTGTCGACCGACAGACGGCCATCTTGATCTGTCTGTCCATGGCTGATACCTGCCTGTATGCCTCGCGGTGAATGAACCTCTATGTGGCGTGAGCATGAGGACACTTTATATGTGCAGGTGGTTTGGGTGGGGCGGGCCAGCATGGCATGCGGTTTCCTTTTCTGTTCTTCGGAGGGGTTTTCTTTTATCAAGCTTCGCTGCGTGCGTTTGCTGGCCGCGGCACCGCACCCATGTGTGTGCGTGTGCGCGTGTGTGTGTGTGTGGGGGGGAGGGGAACTGACAGACGGAGAGTGAGAAGTGTCAGGTTAACCACTTCACGTCACGTGAGAGAGAGCTCACGGCGACACACGACATCCAAACCATAGTACAAATGTCCGTAGAGAATAATAACTGTCTCATCGAGGACAATGCACTCATGTCATTCGTCAGAAGCAGCAGCAGCAGCCGCCTTCTTTTTCTTCTTCTTCTTGGGCTTCTCTGAGACAGACAGATGGGATGGATGGATGGACGGCAAATAAATGCACACAGGACAGGCAGCCTCTGCTCAGAACAGAATGGGAGGAACTGGCTCAGCTTGGCTCAGCTCAGCTCACCTTGAGGCTCTTCCTCGGCAGCGGCAGCAGCCATGTCCACATCAGCCTCTGCACACAAACATACACACACACACCACACAGGCAGACATTCACACGCAGGCCCATGGATGTCACCCATGTAATCCCACCAGCAGCAGCAGCAGCCGCGGCCTCCTCCTTCTCCCCCTCTCTCTGTCGCTTCTTCTTCTGCTTCTTCTTGGTGCCCTCGTCACTGCGCACACCCACCAGCCAGCCCATCACACCACATGAGTGCATCCATCCCATATATCAGCACTTCTGTGTGTGTGTGTGTGTGTGTGTGTCTATGAAGGGTTGGTGTGTACGCAGCGACAGGTGCCTCAGGTGCCTCCTCTTCCTGGTCCATCGGGACCGCCTCCTCCTCCTCTGCGGCCTTTTTCTTTGTCTTTTTCTTTTTCTTCTTCTTGCCCTCGGCCTCTGCCGCACGGGCAAGCTCCTCTGAATGCTACACAAGACACACACACGCACACACACAGAGAGAGAGAGAGAGACAGTGTGGGAGGCGGTGAGGGAGGGAGGGATTGGGGGTTATTGCACACATACTTCTGTGAGCGCCTCCTTCATGGCTTGTATGTTCTTCTTGGTTTGTATGTTTCTGTCGCTGAGGTACGTCAGCCGCTCCTCAACCTGCTCCCGCATCTTGTTACCAAACACACTCGACGACTGACATACACACACACACACACACCACACTCCGTCTGGCTGTCTGTCTGTCTGTCTGTCATGATGATGATGATGTGTGTGCAGTAAGTCTGACCACTTCGCCGAAATTGTCGATGCGCGCGGCGAGAGAGCACTTGTTGGCCAGATAACGGGAGATTCGGCCTGAGAGACAAACAAATGGGCAGCATGACATGACTGATGGACGCCTGTGCTTGGTGTGGTGTGTGGTGTGCATCCCTGCAAGCCGAGCGCACCTTTGTTCTTCTGTGCGGCCCTTCCGATGAAGGTCGACTGGAAGAGCAGCCCGTACTTGGGCGTGTTGCCTCGGGTCTTCAGAGCCCTGATGCCACACACACACACACACGCACACAACTGAATAAGGACGTGTTGCCTTGCGTGTGTTGTGTATGTTGTGTGTGTGTGTTGATGTATGTCGCGGACAGACCTGAAGAGTGCCTTCTCTGCCCCCAGAATCTGGACAGTCGAGGCCGGATACTTAGCCAGGTTGACCAGGCTGCCAGCATGGGAAATCAGACGGGCAGCCACCTGCACACCCACACCCACATCCACACCCACACACACATCCACACACGAACCCGAGCTAAACACATGGACAGCTGGCTGAGCCAGCCATGCCGTGCCCTCTCTAGCGGTGCGTGGCTAGGTCTTCACACAGGCTAGTCACGAGCTGCTGGCTCAGGTGGTCGGTGTGTGCCGGGGATAGATTGAAGCCACCAAGGTGTGTGCAGACAGTGAGTGCAGTGGTGGTCACATTGCAAACCGGCAGCCCAGCCCCATTGTGTGTCCCCCCCTCCCCCCCTTCTCTCACCGTGTCGCCGATGAGGCTTCTCAGGTTCGGCGCCACCACCTCCAGCTTGCTGGCGAGGTAATCTGACGACACCAATGACATACAAATGCGTGAGTGTCGTGATGTCTGTCTGTCTGTATGTCTGTCTGTCTGTCTGTCTGTGTGAGTGTGTCCGTCGCTCACCGACGAGTGTCTTCCTCTGGTGTGCCAGCTTGATGACCTGGTCACAAAACTTGAGGATGTTCTCCTGTCACACACACACACACACACACACGTGGCCGCGGTCTCTGTACGGAGCTCTTCTCTCCCTAAGTCCCATCCGACGTGTACCATGTCGACTTGTGTGATCTCCTGCCCCATGGAAATCTTGGCCGCCGACAGGATCTCGTTGGCCATGTCCTCGTCGCCGTTCAACACCGCCGTCAGTTGCTGCACACACACACACGCACACACACACACACACACACACGCACAGAGAGAGAGAGAGAGGGGGGGGGGAAGGTGTAGAGTGCATCTCTTGGTGTGTCACGACATGTGTGTGTGTGTGACATGAATTCATGTCTATGTCTGTCTGTCAATCTATCAGGGCGGGCTCAGAGCTGAACCGAATCAGCAGCGCTCGACTGATCACACGACACGAGCCGACTACGGGGGAGCAGCCAGCCCGGCCGTCAGAATTACCTTCTTGGCTCAGTTTCTCGTCACAGCCACACTCACATGCCAGACCCCTCCCATCCCTCCCTCTCCACCTCCCTGGCTGTCCCCCACCGAAGCCGAGCCATTCGCTCACCTCGACGCAGTCATCCCGCTCGATGAAGGTCTCCTTGACCTGGATCACCTTGGCCACCTCGGCGAACTTGATGTTGTCTGTCACAATCTTGGCCAGCTCTGAATGAACCAACCAACCACACACGCACACACGAGACAGAGAGACAGAGAGTCTCTCTCTCTCTCTGTCTCTCTCTCTCTCTCCGTGTGTGTGTGTGTGTGTGTGTGTGTGTACCAGGGAAGTGCCAGGAGTACCACTCCCTAACGCGCATGGCGAACAGGTTGACATTCTTGTCGAGGTTGTCGATGAGTGCGATGCTCTGGATGATGGGCTTGTCCTGTCGGTTAGGGTCGAACTGGAGCTTGCTCCGGCTGTAGCTGTGACCTGCACCCACACACACACACCAGAATCACACAGGATGGATGGATGGACGGATGGATGGCGTGTGTTGTGTGAGTGGCTGTGTGTGTGTGTCTGGATCTCTCACCCAGCCCGACACGCGCCCGCTCGAGATCGATCTCTTGCAGGCCCTTCGTCAGACTGATCGAAGAAACACACGAGCCCACCGGCAGGATGTCAGCAGATAGGCATTCATTCAGACCTTACTGTGTCCAGTGCAGCCGCGTCGCCCTCGCCAGCTCAGCGACGTTCTTGTCCATCGTGGCGGGGAAGCCAGCATCGCCCAGCGCCTTACCCAGATTTGGCTCTGTCATCCACACACAACACACACACACACACAACACTCACACCACATGACATCGTGCCAACTGCGGACGGATGGCTTGCCCACCTACCACACACGCCAAGGGCGAATTTGCCCTTCTTCTTGGCAAGCGGCGGCAGGTTTGCCTCGAGGAAGGTCTTGAGGGTGTCGGTGACCTCCCCCGCAGCGATGGCATTCATGTTGTCGAGCGCCTCCTCTGCGTGTCTGAAGGCGTGGAAGGCCTTGAGCTTGACGGCCTGGCTGTAGCTTGGCAGCTCGCGGAGGGCGGCCTGCACCTCGGGCGACGACTGGCCGACCTGCTCCCACTCCTTGACGTGCAGGAGGGCGTAGCCTGCCGCCGACTCGAACAGCAGATACAGCTCCATGGGGTATGATGATTCTGGCGACCAAAGATGACAGATCTAGCCTAGCTGAGGCAGCGGCATCCACTCAGCTGTGTGCCTCGTAGCTCAGGCATCGAAGCGTGAAACCGCTGCTGCTCTAACTCGCCAGCGAGAGGGGAGGGAGACACCCGGACCCTCAGGTTTGATACATCGGTCATGGGTGCGTTCTGGCAGACGTGTGGGTGCGGTAAGAAGGCCCCTGCAGCTGCAGCGGACGGGAACCTGGACAAGCAGAAGTCGAAGCTGCGGACGTTCATCGGGCCTGATGAGCCAATCGGATGGCACCTCGCTGCCTTCTACGGTGAGGCAGGGCAGGCCCCGCTTTGCAACACGACAGACAGCAGCTCGTATCGTATGCAGTCTGAGATCTGATCTGATTGCCTGTCTGATCTGTCTGATCTGTCTGATCTGTCTGGCCTTCTTGCCTGCAGGTGTGCAGCATGTGCTGGCGATGTTTGGAGGACTCATCACGCCCGCAACCCTCATTGCTCTCAACACAGGGTGAGCTGAGCTGGAGGGACGAGATTCGCTTCCATAAGTGGGAGAGAGATCTCATCTGGTCTGGCGTGTTTGTTGTGTTGTGTTGATTCGTCTCATCTTCTCTCTGCGTGCCTTGTCTTGTCTTCTCTTGTGTGTCTGTGTGCTTCCCTCGCTCGTTGTGTGTTGCCCTCCTCAATTAATTGTGCCATCAGCAATGCGGGGGAGATCCCCTACCTGATCTCCATGGCCCTCCTGACGTCGGGCTTCTCTACCATATGGCAGGTGGCACAGCTCAAGACCAAACCTTTGCCGGGCTTCCCCCTGGTCGGTGGGTTGGCGGGCTGGCACACACAATCCCACTCACCCACACACACACGCACAGAGAGAGTCCGTTTTTGTGGCTTGCTGCACAGCACGAGATATGTGTGTGTGTGTGTGTGTGAATGGATCGATCGCATCGTCAGGGCATTTGTGTCGGCACGGGGATGCTGTCTGTGATGGGGTCGAGCTTCACATGGGTGACCCTCAGTGGGGCCGTCGACACGGCGCTACCGCCGGAGAAGAGGCTCGCCGCCATTATGTGCGCAAGTCTGGTGTGCTGGTTCCCGGAAGCCATCATCGCCTTTTGCCCTGAAAAGGCGCGCAAGATCTTTCCACCTATTGTGACGGTGAGAGTGACAAAGGGAGAGGGGGAGGGAGGGAGGTGCTCCGGTGCTCTCTGAAGGCCATGCATGCATCTCTCTCTCGGTGTGTGTGTGTGTGTGTGTGCAGGGGAGTGTTGTGTTCATGATAGGGCTGGGCTTGCTCAACGTGGGCATCAACTACTGGTGACCAACAGCACCACACACCGGGCCGCGGAGAAGAACCGATCGCCTCTCGCCTGTCTCCCTGCCTGCCTGCCTGCCTGCCTGTGTGTGTGTGTGAGTCAGGGCGGGCAATGTTGGCCCGTTTGATGCCTACGGCACACCTCAGTCCTGGGGGCTGGGCCTCTTCACCTTCTCCCTGGTTCTCGCGTGCTACAGTAAGCCAAGCACACAAACAAGACAGACAACCACACCAACCACACCAACCAAAAGAGCCTCTGTGTCTCTGTCAGTTCTCGGCCAGCGTCCCGGCCTGGGGCTGCTCAAGACGGGCTCGATTACCTTTGGTCTGGTCGGGGGATACATCTTCGCCACTTTCTTCGGCAGCAAAACATGCAGTGCCAGCCCCACTTGGGGCTGCACCGGCTACCTCGACCTCAACCCATACACCAACGGCATCGCTGAAGCACAAGTCTTCACTTGTAGGTGTGCGCGTG